AAGCAATTGGAAAGATCTCAAATTTTGTTTACAATGTTTTCTTTCACAAGTGGGGTGCATAGATGATTTTTCCTGTTGCAACACACAAGCATTTTTCCTAGTGTTAATTAAACTGCCAGGGAGTAGTAATGTGTTTTTAAAAATAAGGTTGAAACCCTCTGCCTTTGCATCATTGCGATGCAGCCATCATTTTCATTAAAATTGATATCAGGCAACGAGGCTAAAACCATCGTCAAGCAAATGCATAGCATAGTAAACGTTGTGATGTGATTACATTTGTTTAGCCATCCATAGTGGATTGCATCACCGCCCAGATCCCTAGTTTCTTCATGTGGTGTTTCCAGGCGGATAATCAAAACTTCCACGATGATCGACGCGTGGAGCCCAGGGTTCCCTCGACGCGTGGCGTCATCATCGGCAGGCTTGTTCGGGTCCTGGCACAAAGTTACCTAGGCTCTAGCATGGGTGGTCGGTCTTGCCCCCTCATCTTTTACACGGGTTCTCGCAGGTGCCCCTCGCAATCCTCATGTCTGCAAGCAGGATCGTGCTCCATGATCTGGAGCGGGAGGGAAAGGGCTCTCTCTGGCGGCACCTTGGTATGAGCGACACAACAAGATCCGGCGGTTCCCCTTGGTGGCATGCCTTCTTCCCTGTTGGTAGTCTAGGTGTCTTTGTGCTAGGGTGTGGACTCCTGTTTTCTTGTTATTTCTTTGATCTGCTTTGTAAGAGGATCTCCTCATCATCTTGTATCTATTTGTCTGTGTTGCTTTATATATAAAGTGGGACGGAAGCCTTTTTGGGCAAACTTTCATGGTGAGGCTAACATTAAGCTAGGTTTCTAGATACAAAAGGAGCCAAACTCTTAAAAAGGTTTACCTCCTTAAAGGATTTTATTTGATTCCTTTTTTAGCAGTTAACTTGCACTTAGCCACACTCTCAAAACATTTAACTCATCAAAAAAATAGGAAAAGCATCGGCCGCATCTCAAGTTTGAGAGAGCAAAATGAAGTCTCAGCAAAAGATTCACTCTCTCTCACATGGCCGCCTATCTCTGTTGCTCGGCCGCTTGCATGCGCCACCCCAGACACATTCCTTGCCTTCGGAGACTACCCCGCATGTCGACCGACATCCCATAGCCCCGCCGACCTCTGAACGCTAAATTTTGTAGAATCTAGTGAACTTTTTTTCCTTCACTTTTCCGTATCTTACCCGTCGTCTCCGGCCACGGTGACACTCCTCCTCTTCATCCCTAGGCCAGCGGCATTCCTCCTTGTGGTCACGGCCATGAACAAAGCTGCAGCGTGCGCGAAGGAACATCTACAGAGGGAAAGCTCATGTACATATGAAGAGAAAGATGAGGGGAAGAACCCATTTAGACAAAGAAACGCCCAAGCCATGTCCAGTGGAGGACAAACTTCGCCTACTTTCTCAACTACTTCGTCACACATCACGCACAATGAGCCTCTATCAAATTACTTCCATGGAGCATCTATCTTAGGTCCTGCCTAGCTCATGTGGCGAGAAGTCAGTCGTTTGCCGCATCAAAGGAAGGAAGGAAGGAAGAAATTTCCATGTGGGGTCTAGTTCGAATGAGGAGTTAAATTTGAGAGTTCGGTTAGGTTCACATTTTTTTCAACTCTTCAAATTTGAGGTGTTAAGGTTCCAGAAGGCATGTGAGGGGCTAAATTTAGGAGTTTGGTTAGAGATGCCCTAAGGCACTAGTGTAGCAGTCATGGGATGACCCATTACCTCCCCGTGTTCAGTTTAATCTGTTGGGTAAAAAAGTTTGGACGGCCAAAATAATTTTCTATTCCAAGAATGATCTGGATGCATGCTTCTTCTTCTTAATCTGATCTAAACTTGAATGCTCATGAGAGTATCGTGGAAATGATCTAGTCAAAGATGATGGCATGGATCATTTATATAGCCTGAGCTCTTTGGTGCAGTTCCTTAATGATATGCGACTTGCTTGCTATGTGTTGAATCCAACTAACTTTAGTCATGTAATTTTCATGCATGGGCATCTGCATTATTGTATAATGAAGTCATGAAATAACATGCTAGTTGAATTCCAGCCTATAAATTGCAGTAGTACCTTTGCATTCATAGGAGCCATTCTGGTTTGGTGATGTTTAAGTAGCCATGCAGAAAATAGAAAGGAAAGCCTACATATGAGTTGGGATGAGTGTTGCTTCATGTACGACAGAAGTTCACCATCTCTGGACGACACATGGACATCATTGATGCAGTAGCATCTCAGTCCATTTTATAAAGTAACGTCGTACCAATGACCCCATGTGATTCTATTTTATGCAAAGTACTTTCGAATTGGGATATTAGAGGATAACTGAGTGAAGCTTGATTGTGCGGTCGACTCTTCGGTCTTCTAGATTCCAAAGTTGGCAATCATGGAGAGTTCATCCTGCTCCATTATTGCTTCTTCCACACCGCTGGGCTCTGCAAACCGGAAGAGCCATGGGGAAAGTGCTAACATCAACGGCCAGTTCAGATCTCCCAGTTCTGGAATTTTCCCATTTTCTTCGATGACTATTATGTGAAGCAACACTCATCCCAACTCATCCTAATTGGAATTTTCTCATCATCAATAGAGGAAGATGTTTGGCCTGATGACTATGTCTCCCTCGTCCAATTCGAATTTCATGATGAAAACTGGATTTGATAGATTCCTGAAATTTTGGCTGTAACTTGGGTAGGTTTAGACTCACACGAAAGGTGCATAGGCAAGCCGCTAAAGGGAGGACAAGAATGTGTGCCTCACCATTACTAGCTGATTGCGAACTTTCACGTAAGAAATAGCATATAATAGTAGCCCAGCTCTACTCACACACCCTCCATGTGTAGCCTACTGCTACCCCTGCACTCATGCGACGCCTATCTTCTTCTCCGATCCATTCCCACTAGAATTTTTTGTGCTGCCCTGCCCTACCCATTTCCTCCCTTCTGGCTGGTGTTAACACCACTAAAACCATGGGTTAATGCTAGCCGACAATGTACCTGAAAGAGGAGCACGTCCATGGTGTTGCATTATAATTATAAACCAATCAACCTATTATGTTCGACACAATTTAATCATCAGGTAGATACAATGATCCATTGGCCACATTGCGTTTTCGAGCCTCTATGAACCACATGATAGATTGATAGATCTTCAGGTTTATTATCCCGTAAAACTCTCCCTTAATTAATTGATTAAAACAAGACTCCGTCTCAATGAAATCGTTCCTTCTGTTGTCTCTTAACATTTACTCCACCCTCGGCGGTGCCGGTTAAACCCACTTTAAGCATGTAATGTTCATGAGCATAATAAAAACGTGAAGCTCATTTGTCGGGCCTATATTTGAGCTAGTGTCCAGCATCAATCCAGAGATAAGATTTGGTCCAGGTAGTCATGTGGAAATGACATATTAATTTTATTTGTGATATGTTACACCAGGCCCGCATGAGACTGTCCACAAAGCTAGAATTGTTGTTGATGAGTCCACCTTAGGCTTGTCGTAGTGGGAGTATCATAAGCAGTATCATGCATTTCAACTAGACTTTCTTTATGATGTGGCGCACAATTATATGAGGAAAGAGAGGATGTGGGAGTATTACTTTGTGTCATGCATGACAATTAATAAGGCAATCTAAGATACTAACTTATGATACTGTGCATTATATGATACTCCCCATTATAGCATGCTTAATAATACAACCAACACTTGGCTATAAAGAGTTGTCATGTCATATAAAGTCAACCTAATAGCCGCGGCATGTACAGTAGTAAGTTTTAAATAAATACTACTTTATAGTTGCCATGTCATATGATAAGTTGCCATGTGCAGTTCCACCCCCTATGTTGATTGCTTGCCATGGGTTAAACTAATTGTATTCATGCAATGTCCATGCACGCCCATTTGCATAATGAAAGCATGAATAACATGCTACTTGGGTCTATAAATTGGTATAGCTAGGCATGGATCGATACAGACAACATGTTTGACGATATATTATGTTCATGTAGTGTTACCAAACGAAAACAATTATCATATATACGAGTTGAGAACTCCAGATATTAGAGAAAAACTGATATGTTAAGCGAAGTTTGGTTTGGAGAGTAAACATTTGGCCTTCTAGGTCCATTAGTTTGGAAATGGTGACAATGTCACATGTTCTAAAGCAATGAACGATTCACTATAATTTGGTCGATGTGAGAGATGGGTTCTACCGACCGGAAGAGCAGCGAGACAAGCGTTACTGTAGGTTTTTCCAATTGGACACTATAAACACACCTTTAGTTTACTGAGCCATGTAACTGTACTGCTATGGAGGCTGTTTCTTCTTCATTTTCTGAAAAAGAAAAGATGCAACACACCCTAGTTTTGATTGAAAGTGATAAACAATCAATGGCATTGGACTTCGACCGAAGATAAGCGGTGGGGGTCACACTACTAACTAAAAATATATGTTCGAACAACCAATCATCCGCAGAGTGGACGAACACAACCAATCTGTAAAGACCATGTCGTTACGACCCAAATCAACCAAAGCTTATTTAGTTATTTAGATAGATTAGCACTCGCAAGGTTGCACCAGCAGTACCCAGACGAAGAGAAAGAACAACTTCCCTAGATACAGGTACGATAACCCAATGGCACAGGCATAATTTGCCAACTGTAGTTACATTCAGATTCAATGAGATCGCCTGCAGAATCAGCTAGATGAATTGCTGATGGAAATTGTAAATAAAATTGCCGAACAGTACATACGGTTGAGTTGCTTAATCCAGGGACTTAAGAAATGTACTTCATTTGTTTTTAGAGAACCTGGAGTCCATTTGTGAAGACTAGGGTAAATGTTGCTTTATCAATTTCCTTAGAAACGCAGTACAGAAGTTTCAGTCCTCTAGTAAATTCCAAAATCTCCTCAAACTGATGGATATACTAAGTAGATGAATAAAAGGATGATGACAAGTCGATAACACTCATCATATGAGGACTCTAGTAAATTCCAGTAGTGTCACTAGCCGGTGGATCAGTGATCACCATGACGGGCTCTATGAGTTCAGGTTCGGCAGCGGCATAAGGCTGGGGAGAAATGGCGGCTATGGTTACATTCGGATCAACAAGGTCACCTGCACCTGCAGAATCAGCCAGGTGAACTGCAGATGGAAACTGTAAATAAAATAGCACAACAGTATGTACTAGGATGATGAGGTCGAAGTTCCTTAATCTAAGGACCTAAGAATTAATTGTACTCCATTTCTTTTTAGAGGACCCGGAGTCCATTTGTGGAGACTGAACTAGATGTTGCTCTATCAACTTCCATGAAAACCCAAGCTCCAGCCCTCTAGTAAATTCCAAAATCTCGTCAAAGAGATAGATATACGTGCATATAATGACAAGTTGATAGCACTCATCTGACAGAACCGGGGTGCAATACTATCCAGTGTTGGAGCCAGCAAGCTTTCATTTTCTGACTTGTTGCCTCACGGAAGAAAAGGAAAACAGCTTTGGCTGTGAAGCAAGCAGTAGGCATGGGCAGAGTGAGCGTACACGGAGAAGCTACCGAATCTGAAATTCCCTTCTGAACCTGTGGCAGTGAACCTCCAGCCCTGTCTGCACGTCATATGAATGTTCTTCCAAAGACCAGAACATGTGGTCTGCAACTTCCGTCTTGCCAACAACTGAACAGAGAATTTGCATCATGGATTGTGTCCATCCTTTCTGGGTTGCCCATTCCATGCTGATCTTGTTCTTGTTCAGTGGCACCTATAGAAGGATTGTTCACGTAGCAGAAGCCCAGCTGTTTCCGGTGTAATAAGCCTGCATATACAGCACCCCTCATTCCATCAGCGATCGGTACAAAAGGCTACACTAAGAAGATCAAGTTATGAACATAGTATAGGCTTTTTATACTAAGAAGATCAAGTTTCTATCTGCTTTTTTGCGAGAATAAAGCATATCAAACTTCAAAAGCTCATATGAATTGTTCTCTACTTAGTTTTTAGATTTTACAGGAGATACATGTTCAACAAGCTACAAATATTAAATTTTACTCCCTCTGCAAACAAATGTAAGACGTTATGACCTAAAACGTCTTACATTTGTTTACAGAGGGAGTATTTTTAATATGACCCCTTGTGTCGGGTTCCACTATCTCGCGATATCTGCATCCTCTGCTAACAGAGCCCAAACAAAAGTTTTGTATCTTCGGTGTGAGAAGTAACACCAAGGGGTAAAGAAACGAGAACCAAAAGAGCATTACAGGCTTATGGCATCCAGGTATTAAGTTGGTTTCTTCTTTCTCTACAATCGGGCTAGGTTTTCTTTTGCAACCAGTGATGAGTTTCAGAGTTCAAACTCTTGTTTTTAAAGGTATTCAACTAACACATACCCATCTGATTATTTTCTTGTTTCGCCATGAAATACCAAAAAAGAAGCTATCTACTGCTAACGCCTAACAGCAAAATGTGCCACTAGATAGTAAGCATAACCATGCAATATATTAGCATTCAATAATTAAATAAGATACAAACAAAAAACATGCAGTGCATCATTCTATTTAACTTCAGTAAATCCGTTAAAAAATGTAATTTGAGTACAATATACATTTATTACTCAGAAAATTTGCATTCCCTAAGGTGCAATTTAGCTTGACTGTAATGTCAAGTTGATTGGACCATCAAACCAAAATGGTTTACATGATTGCACTTAGCTCACAGCTTTATACTAGCAAGTTCAATAAGCAAAACTTTCTGTCCAGAGATCCATGACAGGCAGAATAACGCACGCACAGCTGTGGTACCATCTAAGATCTATACAGTTTGCATTTTTCTTTCTTTAAGTTTGCTTATGCAAAAGTAAGGCATTACCCAAAGAAAACATACCCGAAAGCGGATTCAGGATAGTAAAAAGGGAAACCTCCTAATATTTACCACCTACTATCTATCCACTTGCATCCTGGAAGGCCGCAAACTTATTCCAATCTGGACCTTCCTTCCGCTGAAACTGCTCCTCCAGTGCTTGATGGCATCTAGACATGAAAAATGTTTCAAGTGATACAGGAAGACCACTTCGTGGCAGTGACCTCAGCCGGGGGCACTGATTAATCGAGAGAACCCGAAGTGAATAAAAACCATCCATATCAGGAAGCCACAATAAATCAAAACAATCGGTAATCGTCAGCTTCACAAGCGAAACCAGGTCACACAGCTGTCGCAGAGAAGATAATCCATCACAAGATCTTACAACCAGCTCCTTCAGGGCTGTCTGGTAGCCTACTTTAGACAATCGCATAACTTGAGGGCACGCAGACAAATGTAGTTTCTGAAGACATGGCATCTCATCTAAGTACGGTACATATTCCAGATCATAACAATAGCCTATCTTCATCTCTTCAAGGGACAACAGTGCTTCTGACCCCTCAAAAGATGATATCCAATCACAAATATAAATGTCCAACCGTTTCAGCATCCTCAATAGGTGCAGACTTACCGGTAGTCGGTAGACTCGGTATCTCAAGAGAGCCACATTTTGATAGACGTATTGTTTCAAGAGATGAAAGATTATTCAATAACTTGGAGAAAGAGGATGGTTGCAGGTAGCACTTTTCTAATGCAAGGCATTTAAGTGACAAAGGAAGCACAGGACATCCGTTCTCACCCAACAGTGTGGTAATCACTGAGCAATTATTCTGCTCATCAATGCCAAATATTTTTAACTTTTTGAGTGATTTCATATTGTGAAAGACTATCATGGGCATGTGTACCAAACAGTTAACATAGATCTCCATATCTTCTATAGACTCTAGGTGATGAGAGCGCAAGACATGGAAGGAGCTTGATACCAGGTGACAAAATGACCTTGATAGTTCAAAACTGTCAATCTGAAGCTTAAAATGGATTTTTTCCTTGTCAAGTACAGCTATATGTCTGAGTGTACGAGGATGGGTAGGATATGATCTGAGCCGTGGACAGCCAGCAACAGAGAGATGTCTGAGATTCTGTAACACTTTATCATTGTCCACAAGACACCACTCCAATTTAGGTAGGCGTTCCAGAAGCAATCTTTCCAGAGAAGGGAATCCAGCATGACCAAAGAATTCCTGGCTGAGTGCTTTTAGTTCTTCCATTCGCCGCACTTCAAGAGTACCGAGTAAGGGGAGATCCCCTAAAGGTGGAAGGACCTCCCATCTATTACAATCTCGTAGGCAAATCAATTTCAATCTTCTCAGCCAATCAGACTCCAGCCAAGAAGGAGACTTGACACTTGGGTACCCACTGATAGTTAGGTCATCAAGATTGCGGTGTGGCTTTAATACATCAAGCACCTCAAAGCCCTTGTCCATATCATGAGCACCATCACATGATCCCCATTCTAGCTCCAACTTAGAGATGTGCTCCTTCAAGTCTAGATGAGACTTTGCAGCCTCCTCCCTGTTTTTTACATTCTCCAGAAACCTAACAGAAAGCTCTCCCCTAATTTTGTTCAGATCCCTCAGTTGTACCAAACCTTGCTCCTTCTTATCGACAAGGAATTCTCCAGAACCCTCGATACAAGGAAGCTGATACACACCTGATAACATGAGAGTGTAAGCCTTCTCTACATCAACATGCACCAAGTTAATGAGCCTGCGAATGCTTTCAGGAAGACTGAAATGACCTCCAGTAGTGTTCACTTCCCTCCTTCAATATTTCCGCTGTTTCCACTTGTTTGAGCAAGATATCCTCGCAGAGTAACATGAATGATACAACACAAACAAGGACTGTAGATGATTGAGTCTGGAGATTGTTGTAGGCAGTGGGTAATAAGTGCGTCGAATGGCTAGATAACGCAGGTGCATCAGATCATTGACAGCTTCAGGAAACCTTCCAAAGCAGCATCCGCTTACATCAAGTACCCGCACACTCTTGAGTTTATTGAGTATATCATGACTTAAACAGACTTTGGAGCAGAACCAAGAATCATTCAGAATCATAAATGTACGCAATCTCCGGAGACCATCATAGTTCACAAGATCTCCCAGTCGTTCAGCAGACACAGACAAATGCCTAATGTAATGAGGAAACTCCCCAACACTGCCATGATCAACCCTGAAGCATTCCCCATTGGAAACATGAAGTGCGAGACCATTCAATGAATCATGCATAACGTAATATGTTTGATCTCCACAACGGAGCACTTGGAAAAATGATCGAGCTAACAGATCATTGAAATAGCCCCTTCCAATATCTTCCAAATTTCTACTGTTATTTCCTTCTAGATGAACAAGGCCCTGAGCTATCCACATCCAGATCAATCTCTTTGAATCAATACGGTAACCCTTTGGGAATAAACTACAATATGCAAAGCACTGCTGGAGGTGTTCCGGCAAACTTTCATAACTCAAGTATAAGATAGTCAAGATATCATTTGGATTGAGGACATCTCTTTGAAGAACATCCTCCCACTCTGCATCATTGTATTTTCCATTTAAATGACCTCCAACAACCTTTAGGGCTAGAGGTGAGCCTTTAAGTTTTTGAACAATTTGGTAGCCTAACTGCTTCAACTCTGGATAACCTTCTGGCTTCCTGCTGCCAAATGCACATCGCCTGAATAGCAACCAACTATCATCCCTTCCCAGACCTTCTAAAATGAACAAGCTTCTAGAGTCCAGCATTTTTGCAACCAATTCTGTTCGGGTTGTCACTAGAATCATGCTTCCTGGCCTTGTAAACCTTTCCTTAATAGGAGCCATTATTTCCATCCACATTTGTTTGTTGATGTGCTCTCCATATTTCTCATCATACCACACATCATCCAACACTAAGAGAAACCTCTTGGAACGAAGTCTCCATCTAAGTTCGTCCTGGAGCTTACTGAAATTAAAATTAGTCAATTCAGCATTCTCACTATCGGTTGGGTATGATATGATCTCTTTGGTAATTCTAATTTTGTCAAAGTTGTTGGAAACACTAACCCACATTCTCACGTCAAAAGAATCCAGGATGCGCTCATCATTATAGATCAGCTGAGCCAGAGTAGTCTTCCCGATGCCCCCAACACCAACAATAGTGTGCACCTCTGTCCTGACCGACTGATAAGCATTTGACAAACATTTATCGGATTTATACAGCAGCTGACCCACGAGCTCATCTATCTCCTTTTCTCGCCCAAAAATCGCATCTTCATGCAAAAGGGATCCAGTGGTTCTTACTGGGACACATTGTACGGACTGAATGGGGTTAAAGCCCTGCAATGCCATCACTCGGACAAACATCTCTGCAGAAGCTCTAACCCTTTCCAAGCTTTTGAGGACCTTCCGCAAATTTGACCTGAAGTTGTCAATGTTGACCAGACGCTTACCAACAGAAAGAGAAGAGGAGCCTATGCGTCTGAGAAGGCCTTTTTGCTCAACCTTCTCTTTTAAAAGCATATGATCAAACTCATCCAAAACATCTTCTACATCAGAGACTGCATCTTTCATCTGCTGCAGTAACAATATCTGATTTCTGTCCACTACATGTTGCCTTTCTGCTGCTCCAACTGCAAGGAGTATATCCATTAAAGTGGCCTCCAAATTCTTGAGATCAGATAATATCCCAGATTTCCAATTGTACTGGCTTGACATATAGGACTGCACCAAAGAAACCATCCTTCTAATAATAGGAGAAACAACCCATCCTACAGCACTGACTGCTGATACGGTAGCCATGTAATCAAGGAATATTCCTGTACAACATAACGGTTAAATGTTTGTAGTATAGAGTGGATAACCAGTTGCAACATACAACTAAATATCGCACAACTACTGAATATTCAGAAACTTGCTTGCAACGGAGGATCAAGTAAGTTGTAGACCACAACATAAACTAGTATAAATCAACTGGTGATCTTTCAAAGTCACACTTGATAGTCTTCATCCGGGCTTGCATATATATATATATATATATATATATATATATATATATATATATATATATATATATATATATATATAGGACGGCTGTTTGGGACACCTAGGTGCCCAGGCACCTTGCCTAGATGCCGTTGGATCGTATCATGGTTTTGTTGTTAAGATGGCTGGCGAATTACTGGGTTCAACCCGTTAACAAATAGGGCTATGTTTGGCAATGATACCTCCATTGATATGAAAAACTTGCCTTAGTTTTGTTGATGCTTCATACCTACGTACGCCAATCAAGAACATTCCAAAAGAAAACGCATGCATATGGGGAAGAATCATACCCGTGTACGTGACTTTATTACCTTCCAATTGTTTAGTCATGGCGTTCCTTTTATGGAAAGGATTAAAGCAGCCGAATTTATATGTGTCATCAATTGTCTGTTCGTGAAAAAAATACTCATTATTTTACATCACCCCGAAAAAAGTAGTAAAAGGGGGAGCGATTTTAGCGTTAGGTATATTAGGGAAACAATATACTCAGTGGAATCTTGCCGATGGGGGTATGCAAAAAAAATAGTGTAGAATGGGTCAACTTTATTTGTGAACATGATTTAGTTGTGAACGTGATTTAAAGTATGCTTCCAAAGTTTTTTTTTTGTTTTCTCTCAAGATCTAATTCATGATAACTGTATCCACACGCACACGCACACGCACACGCACACGCACACCCACACGTACACACACACTCAGTCAGGTATTGCGCTTTGTATTATTTAGGATACTCTATTTTTTGCTGGGGTGTTATTTAGGATACTTGGTTACACTTGTACGTATCATTTTTCACAAAAAGTTGTACCTTGTCACATGTTTATGTGTCCATTAATTTATGTGGGTATCTTTCTATATTAACTAGATGTCCATCAATTCTTAGTTATGGGTAGTTGATACATAAGATCGATTATTAAGCCATGCATGACAACATTTTCACATAGGCAAAGCAAATGAAGACAGTCTTGCATGGCAACGTTTGTTTTAGCACAATCTAAAATTCGTGTACCTTAATTTTTAGATGTGGATGTGTTTAGGTATATGAAGACTTTTTCTTTTGCCATTATTGTCCAAATTAAAGAAATGGTAATAATTTAGTGAATGTGAGTAGCTCATAAATTTGACATACCAAATAAAATTACAAATGTCACTTAGTAACTCCTAAATTTCCAAGTTTATAGACCCGCAAATAACCCGTGTATATACACATACCTTTTTTATTTACTTATTTGTGATTTCACATACTACATGTAATCATGTATAGATGGATTATCATTTCATGTTGGGTGACTAAACACTACAAAACTACATGTAGGTCTTAGGTTTCCGCAAGTATCATGGATTTGTGGGTATAAATGCATACCTAGAAATCATTTACTGACCAGGTATACCATATCTCCGGTAATCATGTATAGATGGAATATATACTCGCAATACAGTGAGGACGGTTTTAATTTCAATGGGTATATACTTAAAATACCTTAGCTCTGTAACTATAGAAATATTCTGTCGGACAGAAATAGATACCTCGGCTATGATATTGAAATGTGGGTATTAGATTCCTGTGCATCTATAACAATGGCGCGGAAATGTGGGTATTCTATACCTATAAAAGTGCAAGGTATCGTGACATAATCAGGCTGATAAATGTGGGTTCAGTGTGTACATACTCACAGTACCATATGTCCTAATTAATATGCATCTTTTTTTTCTTAAGCATGTACATACGTGTATTGCTGAGCTTCTACCAAGAATTAGAGTTTCAACAAAAAAGCGACCATAGTATTTGATTCTCATGTATCTTTTTAATTTGGCCATGCATATACACAACCAAATTACATTCCAATAATTCACAACAAAAGAGGTATTACATTCCAATTTACATGAAATAAGAAGGAATTTGCTACTGTGTTTGTAAGCACACATACAAGATCCACAAAGAGAACAAATTTAATAAATCACATGTATCTCCTTGTTGTTCTCTTGCATGTTATTTTAGTCCTTGCGTTGTCACACAAAGCCTTCGCCGTCAACCACAACATCTTTTAACAAGTGTGGTGGCTCAATGTGCTGCGGAACATTCTTCGTGTTGATCTATCTGAAAAGAATCACAAAAAATGAACTCAGGATCAAAAGGCATGCATAAAGTATCCAAATTGATGAACGGGAGGAAGCCTTGAACACGATGGTAAAAATGAGGGACAATAGTGTGATATATTGAAATAGTCTGATCATCCTAGGCATGTGAGAAAAAACGAGACATATATTAATAGCTCCATGAAATCGTCATCATCGCGGTCTGCACAGGCAACCATCTTGCCACGACCAACCCCGGTAATTTCTTTCTTCTTCCAGTAGCACACTTTTGTAATCTCAACATGGATATACCTACAGTTGGAAAAGAAAACAATCGGTGACCGCGACGGTGACAACGGCTACCACGGCCAAGATAAAACGATGGAGGGATCCAGATCACCTGGGTATGCTCGTCGTGTAGAAGAAGCACGATCGATCGATGATGACCTGGGTATACTCATGCATGGAGAAGACGAACCAAGGAGAGGAGAAATCACAGGGGTATGCTCATGTAGAATATGAATGAGGGAGACTGAATCACGTACATGTATGTAAAATGTGAGCTGGTGGCCTAATTTCGTCCAACTTTAATTCCTCGGCCAAATTATGGCAAGTGCATGGGCCCGTTTTTTTCGGTAATTGATTTTGTCCAACTTTTAGTCCTCGGCCAAATTATGGCAAGCATGGGTCTTTATTTTTGGGAATCATTCAAATTCGAGCGCATCTGTATTTTTGGAAACAATCAAATTATATGGCAACAGAGTAATGAGAAATATTATGGAAGGTCCTAATTCATGCGCATGCAATATACTTGGAAGGTGAGAATCGTAACTGAATAATGGTTTTAACGGGTACGGGCATTTGTAAACCTGATAAGCATTGATTGGATGATGAGTTGATCGAACGGCTGATGTCCTAGGTGCCTGGGCACCTAGGTGTCCCAGTTATTTTACCTATATATATATATAGTATATATATATATATATATAGTATATATATATATATAGTATATATATATATATATGTATATATATATATATATATGACTACCTTTCTTTGTCCAAGCCCATTAAATTAGATGGCTTTGTTGCGATGTTTGCACCGAACTGGAGAAATATTATAGCACTTCATAAACATATACAGTACATTGCCGGAACGTGCAGCACGCTGGTAAAGGCCCCAGGTTTGGGGCGCCAACCAGAGCGGGTTTCTTCCCTCCGCTTGTTCTGTTCTATGGGATTTGGAGGGGTTTGAAGGGGATTAAATCCCCTAGAAGTCAAAATCCTAGATCCCCTCCAATCCCCTTGTCGATGGGATTAACCGAACAAGAGAATGCGAACAAAACAGACGAATTCTGACCAAATCTCCAATCAGATCACATATATTACACCTATTTAAACAAGGTCTGGAAGTCTCGGCGAGGTACTATAGTACAAAGAGAGCGTTAATCAGATCGATGATTTAGGCAAGACAAAAAATGCACCGGGACAACGACCGTTGACTCCAGATCTCCAAGATAACCGGCCGAACACGGCATACAGTAGCTGCTGAAATGTGTGTGACAGTACCTGCTAGTCTTGATAGGTCGGAAGGATGGGAAGCCTGGACAAGAGAAACTCTTGATTTAGCCAAATGAAATGTGTGTGGAGGACACAAGGGAGGACGGCGCCGGTCAAGCTGAGGAAATGGGGGAGAAAGTTTGGGACCTGGGGGGCGTGAGGAGTAGTAGTAGACCTACCTAACTGGAGTAGTTGGCTTCCAGCTTCCACACGGAAAAGAAACAGTGGCCACCACCCCACCAGTCCACCAACCCAAAAGAACCTGCCCCAAACCCACAACCATAGCCCGCATCACGTGGTGCCACTGCCATGGTGGCACATAGTGGACGAGGCGAGGCGTGACCCGCACGGTGGGCCGGCGCCGGAACAACCCGATGGCCAGGAATGTCTGCTCGGTCCCTCGCGCCATCGCATGTGGATACAGATCTTTTTTTCTTTTTGAGAATTGCATGCGGATACAGTAGAGTGTCTCGCCTCGCCGCCGGTCAAGGCGGGCGTTGGGTTGTGTTCTGCTGTTCGCCGCCGGCGAGTGGCACGCATCCGTAAGCCCGGCCTGGCTCGATGTCAAAACCAAAGCCTGCACACCAGCCCATCAAGCCCCACAAAAGATGGAATTCCAGATCCAACTTTTCTTCAACAGTCCTCGAGCGCGACAGCTGTTTCCTTTCGGTTTTGTTCTTTTTCATGGGTTTCTTTGGTTTTGTTGTTTCTCCTTTGTTTTTTCACTACTTTTCTTCGTTTTCTTCCCGGTTTGTACTAGGTGTTTCATAATTTTTCTTTGGTTTTCTTTTCTTCTTTCTCCGTTTTTGATGGTTTTCCTATTTCTTTATTTTTCATCGGTTTTCTTTGTTTCCTTATTAGTTTTCCTATTTTTTCCTTGTCATTTTTTACAAAAATGCTACACCTAAGAAACCTATTATGTAAAGTTACGTTATTTCCTTTCCTCAACTAATCATCAAAATCACTAATTAAGGAGTACTCGTTGCAAAGAACACTGCACTTTCCTGGTTACGACAAGCAGCGCGCCACTTGTCGCAACCGGAGAGTTTTCTCTTTTTTTCGTAGATTCATTTATTCAAAACACTTTATCTTTTAAACCGTGCGTCCAAATCTCGAACCGTTTTC